GTCTTTGGGAGGGTAATAGAAGGAAGGTATCTAGGACCCAGAATCCTCCATAGCCTGTACTAATTCACCTGCCCAATTAGCAACGGCTGAGGCTTTAAATAGCAGGTCTCATAGCACAAAGGAGAGAGATACAATCTGACCTGCAGAGAGCAGGTCTGTGCAGAGCAGCACCAGAAAAAGTGCTAAAGGTTGGTGAAACCAATGTTTGTTTTGTTGATTTGTTTAGATTATTACCCTGGTTTAGTAAGGGATATTACTTTATGTTAGTAAGTGCTCGGATTTGAGCTAAGATTTTGTTTGTAGACTTTCCTTTCTGTTATGCTGCAGTTTTGAACAAACTGCTGCATGGATTTTTGTGCACAGTGTAAATAATCCACACCTTTTTTTTTGCATAAGAGGCTGATGTTCTATACCTGTTACCCTAGAGGACTGTGTTGCTTTGCCCATAAAGGTCACAGTATGTATGTGTGTGTGTATACATAGCGAGAGGCAGGCACACACCAGTTGAAGACCCAGTGGTGAGAAGAGAGTAACAGGGATTTTCTTCCCCTCCTCTTCCCCAACATGACTGCTGGCACTATGGTATCTACTGTTAAGAGCATGTATTTGCAGCGTTTCTGATTGCAATGTTGCATATACAGATAAATACTTACTTTGGTTTAAGCATCATTTAGCTTCCTTTATAGGGCCTATCAAGTCTGTGTAGCTTCATATTCTAGACCTGGGGGAAGGCAACCTTTGGCACTTCAGATGTTGTGGACTAAATCTCCCATAATGTTTACAGCCATAATGCTAGCAAAGCATCAGGGGAGATGTAGTCCACAACATCTGGAGTGCCGAAGGTTGTCTACCCCTGTTCTAGACTGTTGTTTATCTGCCCCCGAATTTCTTACAAAAAAACAAACAGCTATTCAGTAACACAAAGTGTTTTTCTGTTTACTTAAATGTATCTTACCTGATGATTTGACAAATAGATTAAACTCTGCAGGAATGCAATCATTAGTCTTACTACAAAATCCATTGTGCGTTTCTGGCCAGTACAATGCATACCCATGCCAGGCACCTTATAGCTTATGCACATTTACAAACAGCACTTCCCTGATGTTCCAATCATTTTAAAAGCATCTTGTGATCAATTCATACAATGCAGAGTCTGAGTCATAGCAAGGCAACATGAAGCAAATGAGAATATGTCAGTATCACCCACCAGGCAACACATTCATATGCCAGGCTAGGAAAAAGCAAAAACTCTTGTGTTATTGTTCGGCCATTTAACACATCACAAAGCCATAATTACCCCGCAGTCAGTCCTGCTTATACCAATTGAAATATCAAGGATAATGACAACCAAATTACCATGAGAACAATTTAGGGCTGGAAAACATGTTTCTATATCATGCCTTAGAAAGGCTACTGCACCAACCTGAAAGATCTTTTTGGCTTAGAATATGAGCTGATTTGTTTTAACATTAGTCAATGAACTACTAAAGTAGAGCTATGGACTCTGGATGTTTATCAGATAACATGAATAGTTGAATACATAGGGGTGTTCAAACATAAGAATGTGCATATAGGACTTGGATTTAGAATTCCATACATTACGGTAAATTTCAAGAGACCCGCTCAAGTCTGTGGAGGAAGAACTGCAGCTTTTGGGTGCCTGCAAAGGGTAATTTAATTCAGTTGTGAAGAAATGCTAAGTGATTTTGTCAGACATATTATAATATGGAATAGCTAGATAAGACAAACTGCAGCCAAAGGTAGAAGGTGAAACTTTGGGTGAAATGATAATGGAATAGCCAAACTGGAAATTGAGTTGTTACTTTTTTATTTGAATTCCCTCGTCAATCCGTTAAAAAAGCAACTCATTTTATAATGATTTAAGTTAGAAAGGATAAAGTACTTTTGAAAGTGTGAAAAAACAAGGTAATTGGACCCAGAATTCTCGCGGGTCTCGCGAGAGTTATTGGAGGCAATGAATTGCGTGTGAAGAAGCTGTGTGCTGGGACCCCCTCTGCGGTAACAGGGAGCTGAGGGGCCCCACCGGACCACCAGGGATGGAATCTCCCCCTCCCATGAATAACATTTAATTTAATATAAAATTAATTTGAAAATGCCCCTTCCCTCCCCCCCCCTCCGCAGATTGCACATTTACACACACTGTATCCACTCCACTGACACACACACTGCATCCACAATACTGACACACACTCTGCATCCACAATACTGACACACACTCTGCATCCACAATACTGACACACACACTGCATACACAACACTGACACACACACTGCATACACTAGTACAACACACACTGCATCCACTACACTGACACACACACTGCATCCACTACACTGACACACACACTGCATACACTACACTGACACACACACTGCATACACTACACTGACACACACACTGCATTCACTACACTGACACACTGCATTCACTATACTGACACACACTGCATACACTAGTACAACACACACTCTGCATACACTACACTGCATACACTAGTACAACACACACACTGCATACACTACACTGACACACACTGCATACACTAGTACAACACACACACTGCATACACTAGTACGATACACACTCTGCATTCACTACACTGACACAAGCTGCATACACTACACTGACACACACTGCATACACTACACTGACACACAATGCATACACTACACTGACACGCACACTGCATACACTACACTGACACACACACTGCATACACTAGTACAACACACACTCTGCATACACTACACTGACACACACTGCATACACTACACTGACACACACTGCATACACTAGTACAACACACACTCTGCATTCACTACACTGACACGCACACTGCATACACTAGTACAACACACACTGCATACACTACACTGACACACACACTGCATACACTATACTGACACACACTGCAACACACACTCTGCATACACTACACTGGCAAACACTGCATACACTAGTACAACACACACTGCATACACTAATACGACACACACTTTGCATTCACTAGTCCAACACACACTCCGCATTCACTACACTAACACACACACACTCTGCATTCACTACACATTAATACACACTCTGCATTCACTGCACTAACAAACACACTACATTCATTACACTGACACACTCTCTGCATTAACTATACACACGGCATCCACTACACAAACATCCTGTATTTACAGTACACACACTACATCCACCACACATTGAAACACTCTGCATTCACTATACAGAGACACTGCATCTAATACACACCCTACATCCACTACAGACACTGCATCCACTAAACACATTGCATCTGGTACACACACACTACATCCACTACACAAACACACACTACATCACTGTACACACACTACATCCACTACTCAAACACACTCTGCATTCACTGCACAAACTGTATCTAATACACACAAACACTACATCCATTACACACATTCTAATTCACTTCCACTATACACACCACATTCAGTCACGCATCATTGTCAGCGGACTAGGTAGGGCATGGGCGGGCCCGGGGGGGATAAAGGGAGGGCCCCAGACCTTGTGCTTTGTCAGGGGCCCCAAAATTTCTGATGTAGGCCCTGGATAGGCCTGAACAGAATAAATACATGTGGGATTCTCTGAAGGATTATAATTTGCCAGGAATAGAGGAACTTACATTAAATATAAAAGGCCATAGTGTGAGTCATAAGGAGTGTTAAATATGCTTGGGAGGAGCAAACTGTTGTATGCTGGTATTAGAGAGGAATATATAAAATACTAGAACACATCAAGACATGATAATTGTGTGCCAGAATGGAAGGTTGTGGTCAGGCCCGGACTGGCCACTGGGCATACCGGGCAAATGCTCGATGGGCCGCGATGACCAGGGGCTGAGATCATAGGATCTCCCCGGCCAGCCCATGCAGGGCCGACCCTATCAGTGTGCCGGCCCTGCTGTGTGACTTCATGGGCCTGTGGGGAGATCAAAGATCTCCCGCACAGGCCCACAAGCACTGTAATGCTGCCGCTGACTGGAGAGGGAGAGGAGGACCTGGTGGATCTCTACCCTGCAGCTTCGCCGGGTTCCTCTCACGGTTACCACGGCAATGCTCAGATCTTGCAAGAGTGAACTCTATCCCAGGAACTGCAGGGTAGAGTTCACTCACCACTAGGACCACCAGGGACTGTATCACGGCCCTCCTCCATGGCAGCACGGCTGCCCCCTTCCAGGCTAAAGGTAAGAAGGGAGGGGGGATATGAAATTTATTTAAAATTTTTTTTTTTTATATATTTAAATCTCCCCCCGCCACACACAATCCCTCCAGACATATTCACACACACAGCACACCCACACTAACAGCACACATACACAGCACACTGACACATACACCACACTCACACTAACAGCACCCTCAGACACACACTGCACACTCACACACAGCACCCCAGAAACACACAGCACCCCAGAAACACACACAGCACCCCAGAAACACACACAGCACCCCAGAAACACACACAGCACCCTCGCACACACAGCACCCTCGCACACACAGCACCCTCGCACACACAGCACCCTCGCACACACAGCACCCTCGCACACACAGCACCCTCAGACAAACACATCACGCTCAGACACACAAATCACGCTCAGACACACACAGCACACACACAAACACAAACAGCACCCTCACACACACAGCACCCACACATTCACACTTACAGCACACTTACACACACAGCACGCTCAAACACACACACACAACACCCTCAGACACACATAGTAACCTCACACACACACACACACACACACATATAATATATATAAAATAACCCTCAGTGAGTTAACAGACTAAGAGAATTAGACACATAAAATGTGATGGCAGATAAGAATACCCTCACACATGCTGCACCCCTTACACACACATGCTGCACCCTTCACGCATACAGCACACCCAACACACTGCGACCCTCACACATACGATACATCCAAATGTGTGTGTGTGTGTGTGTGTGTGTGTATATATATATATATATATATATATATATATATATACACACATACACACACACACACACACACACACATACACATACTACAGCCCCCTCACACTGCACCACTACACACATTATGCTTCAGAAAGACGCTAGATCCCTTACCCAACTCTGGATCATCTAATCTACACACACACAGTAGATCCCTATATACACACACAATCTCCTATACACACTCTGGGTCCTTTACACACTAGATCCCCTACACACACACACACACTGCACCACCAACACACACTAAATTCCTGACATAAAAACTCTGGACCTATGCACACACTACATTCCTTGTTAGCAAACACGTGCTACATTCTCTAAACACACAGTCTCTACAACCTCTACAAACACTACAGCCCGTATGCACACACTCGCTACATCCCCAATACACACTATGCCCCCTATACACACACTCTCTCTACAGCCCCTAGCACGATACGCTTTCCTGGCCCTTTTGTCCTCTGGTATCCCCCTTATGGAGACACCAGAAACAAGTTAAAAGCAAACACAGCGCAAACATGTTATTAAATTTGCTTGCGCTGCACAGAACAAATACAGGGCCTTTTCCTCATGCTAGAGCTCTCACTTTAAGAGGGGGCATGCTTGTCATTAGTGATGACAAAACACACCCTCTCTGACCCCGCCCCCTTCTCAGGGGGCCGCTGTGATTGAAAAAAAGATTATTTTTTTTCCCCCAGTCCGGCCCTGGTTGTGGTTGTCTGTTTCTTTCTTAAATACACAGGGCTGCCATCACAACTAACGTGTGTTACATAACTGAAGAGGTGATAGTGGGAATATGATAAAAAGCAGGGAATATATTAGGAGTATTAAAACAGAAGACAAAAACAGAGTGGAAATAGAGGATGTATGACTATGAGGGGAAAATGGAAGCTTGGTTTTGCCCAAATATTGGGTAAGACCCTGCAAAAAAAGCTAATAACATTCAGCTGCTCCCAAGGGGACATAGTACATTGATGCCCATTCTTGGATTTTAAGTTGATAAGCAACCAAACAGATGTTACCAAACATATGGCCAGTGATAAGGTGTGAATGAAAGAGGAACTGTCAGTCTGGCTGATGAGAGATAGAAAAAGGGCAAACGAGAAAAGTGGTGTCAGTCTGACCAATAAAAAAGGGAAAAGGGGAAAATGAAAAACTTGTCAAGTTATACATATGGATTTACTCCCTCTGAAAGCAGACACACATTTTATTATATGAGAGCTTAACAAAAACAAGTGCTTTGCCAAGACATCATTAGCTCTGTTAGCCATCTTCTGATACCATGTACACCTACACCACCCACCTTGCAATATATATACATGCACTCAAAATATGTAGTTATTTGCATTTAAATGCACGAATTAATGTGTGCTTTGTTCTATTTGCATTTTAGTAGCATTTCTGTCACTCCAAAAAATTAGTACAATTTGATGCACTGTGTTTATAAATCCTTGTAGGAGACACAGAAAAGACTTAATTACATGCAATGATTCATCTAATCTGCCTTTAGGATTTAGTTGTTTACAAGGTTAGATAGCTTCTGCTGGGCAAAGGAGGGAGGAAGAGTTATTGTGATTTAAATGGAAAATCAACACATTAACCCCTTAAGGACACGTGACATGTCATGATTCCCTTTTATTCCAGAAGTTTGGTCCTTAAGGGGTTAAACTAACCCTATGAATTTAAACTGTAGGTTGAAATTGCAATAAATCGGTGGCATAGAGAGAGAGAATCTTAGAATAAGGATAAACATTAAACAAGGTCAAATAAAAGGTTATTAATATAGTTAATCTAAAATGTATTCCAAGACAGTCCCATATTTAGTCAATAACGTCCTTCTCAGCAGACTCACCATTGATCACTACTAAATAAACAGCGAATTGACCAAAAACACCAATATAGAAGAAATCTATAGTCCCAAAACTTTTTAAAGTACACTATTCTGTCTGAATGTTGTGAGTTTTACACAATGTTCTGCACAGTAAATATGATTATTGTTTGTGTACTAGCTTCTCCAAACAATATTTTTAATAACCTGTATAGATCCTTCTTCCCCACGTCTAGGACACATGGTAAAAAAAACAACTAGGTGAATAATATGGCCTACAACTGAGGCCAATCTCCTTAGTTCTGTGTTGGTGATTCTTAAAGTTGACTCTGGAAGGGTCACTCTAAGTAACGCAACAACTTTGCATTATTGCTAATGATGTGGTGCAGAGAATGCCTGGAGCTCAGTTTTTCCTTCTTGGGGCAGTTTATCAAGGGAAAGATCTGTAAATATTGGCGCATTTAAAAGCTTGATCACTCAAGATGGCATCACAAAGAGGAAGTCTTACTCATACAGTATATAACAAAAAGTGGTGGAGCAATAAAGATAAAGATTATTACAAAAAGAAAAAATTATATTCAAACTCCTTGGAGCACTTTTCTTGTATAAAATCTAAATCTAAAAAAATAGGACAGGAAAGGGGATGCTGCAAGTCATATATAGGAAAATACCACTAACCTATACACAATCAGTGGGAAACATATACAATATAAGAAAGGACTGCACCACCCCTCTAAAAAAAAATGCTCTTTACACGAACGAATGCACTAATTAATAAGTGACCAGACAATACGACATATAAAATTAATTAAACAATTTATTGATAATGCATCTTAAACTTTGAAGTGATATTCAAAATAGGTGCATATGCAGGAATAAAAACAAAAATAAAAATTTGACAAAAAAACTCCAAAAACTGTAGGATTAATAATTGAAAATAATTCATATAGGTAAAAATAATCCAAATAGACAAAAAAAAAAAAAATGGTTTCCACTTCCCTGTTTAAATGTCCACTGCCTCCTGTGTAGTAGTTAATCAGGCCTCCTCAATAGCTTCTGGACAACTTCTGACACTAATTGTAGTGAATAATCCTTGAGGTTCAATTATTAATCCTACAGTTTTTGGAGGTTTTTGTCAAGTTTTTATTTTTCCTTATTGACCCCAGAATGGCAGTCGGGTTTTTACTTGGATCAAGAAACTGTTATCCCATATATATAAATAAATACCTGAATATTGGGTTTTTGCAGGTACTTATCCAGTCCTTTTTGCACTTAGTGCTGCATTGTAAAACACTGCAGTCAGTGGCGTACACATGACCCATTGGGCCCCGGTGCGAAATTGATCCGTGGGCCCCCCTCCCCCCCGCGCTTACTCGGCGCGGGTCGGGGCCGCAACACATGGCGGCGGGCACCTGGTCGCAGGGGTTGCAGGGCTGCGACCCCGCGACCGCGGTATGCACACACACTTAAAGGACCACTACAGACACCCAGATCACATCAGCTCAATTAAGTGGTCTGGGTGCCAGGTCCCTCTAGTTTTAACCCTGCAGCTGAAAACATAGCAGTGAAAACGGCTATGTTTCACTGAGGGTTAATCCAGCCTCTGGTGGCTGTCTCATTGACAGCTGCTAGAGGAGCTTCCGCGATTCTCACTGTGAAAATCACAGTGAGAAGACAATGAACGTCCATAGGAAAGAATTGAGTAATGCTTTCCTATGGGCGGTTTAAATGCGCGCGCGCGCCTCTTGCCACGCATTTGCATTCGGAGCTGAGAGGCGGACACTGGGGAGTCCGACGCTGGAGAAAGGTAAATGCTGAAGAGACACACACACACACACTCTCACGAACAGACGCATACACACACACTTACAAAACATACACTTTCACTGACAAACACACACTCACTAACAGACAAACAGACTCAGTAACAGACACACACAGTAACACACTCACTAGCAGACACACACCCAATAACAGAGACACTCACTGACACACACACTAACACACGCACTAACACAAACACTAATACACACATTAACACACACACACATACACTAACACACACACACACTCATACACTAACACACTCATACACTAACACACACATACACTAACACACATACACACACACACTAACACACATACACTAACACACACATACTAGGACACACATACTAACACACACACATACTAAGACCCACATACACTAACACACACATACTAACACAGACACACATACTAACATACACACACATACTAAGACCCACATACATTAACACACACATACTAACACACACATACACTAACACACACATACTAACACACACATACACTAACACACACACACTAACACACATACACTAACACACACTAACACACACATACTAAGACCCACATACACACACTAACACACACACACCAACACACACATACTAACACACACACACACTAACACACACTAACACACACACACACACTAACACACACACATACTAACACACACACATACTAACACACACACACATACTAACACACACACACATACTAACACACACACTAACACACCCACACATACACTAACACACCCACACATACACTAACACACATACACTAACACACATACACTAACACACATACACTAACACACACACACTAACACACACATACTAACACACACATACTAACACACACATACTAACACACACATACTAACACACACATACTAACACACACATACTAACACACACATACTAACACACATACACTAACACACATACACTAACACACATACATACACTAACACACACACACATACTAACACACACTAACACACACACACACTAACACATTTTTATTTTTTAAATTTAATCCCGCCAGCCTCCTTACCTGTTGGATGACGTCATCTTCCGGCTCCGGTATCAGTGCGGTGCGCGAGGGAGCTGAAGAGGAAGCACTGAGTGCTCCCTCGCGCGCCCGCCTGCCCGACCGGCCACCCGCCAGCTGGGGTCAGCAGGGCCAGCCTCGGGGGGCCCTGGGGTGGCCGGCTCCTGGGCCCCCCAGGGGAAGAGGCTGGCCCTGTGGCTACATACCGGGTCGCAGGGGCGGCCGGGCCCCCTGGTGGGCTGGGCCCGGTCGCAACCGCGACCCCTGCGACCCTGGTATGTACGCCACTGACTGCAGTTCCAGAGAACTACAATGTTTACAT